ACATTTTTGATACGAAACGAAACACGACCGGTCTAAAATGTGAACTACAAAATAATAATAGTAAGTAGTAGTAGGAAGGTGGACATAACTAAACTACTTGCCATGGGAGAGGGGATGCGATCTATTCTGAAGCATGGTGTCTCGTACTGCACGGTCAGCGGAGCGAGAAAAAAAACACTCCGGAGCACGTGTAAGAAGGGACAGGTAGGGACCTTTGGGAAAAAAATGGCGCGCGCAATTTGTATGTAAATCGCTTTGAAGTAGGTAAACAAACTGATTAGTAGAGAGATTAACGCGAAACTGACAATAACAGATAACATTCCACACAAAGCCCTGTGCAAAAAAAACAACAATAACGCCTTAATTGAAAAGTGAAGGTCCGATAACGTATCCCTGAGGAACTCCGCCCGATCGCATTGCGGCGCATTTTTCAATTCGAAGGGCCTCGCGCGGTCGATCCCGACCTAACGGGAATCTTTCTCGAAGTGAAAGTGAATAGCGGAGATCGAATGCTACAAAAAACCAGCCGAATGTTTCAATTTTGTTTTAACGCAAAGATTTTAGTGGAAATCCAATTGCTAAAACTGAAAGTGCTTGAAAGAATATGAGCAAAAAAATGGTTAAATGGAAGCAACTGAACAAACACGGCCGGTTTCTTGCGTTCACCCTGTAAATATCGAAATAAGGAAATGTAACCCTAAAGCTCGCCGAATTTAATACTGTTGCTATTAAAATACTTAAAATGTATAAAGCCCTCAAGAACTGGAAGCATCATGAGGTTTCGTCCACCTTTTATTCGTAAAAGGGTTGAAAAAGGACTATTATTGTAGCGTGACCATTTTTATGGAATGGAATGAAACCTATCGTGTTAAATTGATTGGAAAATGGATGCTCCAAATCCAAATAAGGGTAGATACTTAAGATTTTTATTCAACTTTAGTTTAGCTATGCTTATGGATATTTTTTGCGATTAAATTCCCCCGGTCAAGTTCTTTACAACTACACACATTATAAAGCTGCAGAGCAAAGCAATTCGTTTCAAACTTTGCACAGTTGACCTATATGCCACATGTCCTATTGAAAATGGGTCAAATCCCAATGACCCGTAGGGTCATACCGCACTGCCGCTTTTCTAGATCTGCTTTACACGCACTTTATTATTTTTGAGCGATTATACTCAAGTCCTCATGTCAGCATGACCAAATACGGTTTATTATTTATGCGCAGAACAATTTTACAGGAGTAACTTTCTTCTATAATTTTATTTCTTATGAACGTGTTCATTCCCGAAGAATATTTTTAAATAAACTGCAAGGGTATAGACAAGAGAAAAGGTCACTTCCGGTTGACGAGTATTGACCAAAATTTGATCAGAATTGGAATATTCGAGACCGTTCGCGAGTTATTATGTACACAGACGGACGGGCAGAAAATCCAAATGACCAAAATTTAATCAGTTAGTCCCTTGACCATTGTCTACCTACTACTGAAAACAGAATTGGAAAATTCGAATCCGTTCGTAAGTTATCATATAAACAGACGGACGGACAGACAGTTCAAAATCAAGAAACTGGCGTTTTGTCGCTCGTCAATAAAGGTTTACTGAATTTAAAGGCTCTTCTTTGCTATTAAAAGTAGTGGTCGCGCATAGAAAAAGACAGTGGGCCCTTCTAATAAACCCGAAACGAACAGCGGAAGCTGTGCATACGTGTGCTCCTTAGTAAGAGGGGAAAAAAGAGCGCAAAGCAAAAGACGAGTACGTGCTGTTGACAAAAGGGCGCAGCAATTTTCTCTAAACATGTGACAGCTGTCTCTCCCTATAAAAAGAAATAAAAAGCGCAAATCAAAATACCGTGTGCGATAAACTCCTCCGGAAAACTCGAATTGACGACTGCGGAATATTCGCCCCTAGGAAATCCCCTCTCCCGGTAAGTTTACTGCCACTATCAAATATATCTCGGTCAAGTTTCCTTAGAGGAAAGTATAACGAAAGCAATTTTTTGCGGGTGATCCTTTAGGTGACAAATATTCTGGGGCATCTTCGAGTTTTCCAACGCCAGTTACCAGAGCGAGTGGAAACTTTTCCGTAGGCATACTTTCCGAAGGCTAATTTTCCGGGGGCGAATCTTCCGGGGTAGTGGTGCAGTCGGTGTAGAAACGCTCACCATGTTCTGAAAATTGACTTACATGGGCGATTCAGAATTCTTACAGGGTATGAGAAAGCTTTCGGAGCCCAAAAGTGTATTGAACGTGACGGGGACTAGGTTAAAACATGTGCAAAGGAAAACAGTTATGGTATAAACATACAACGAAACTGCGCACACCTGATGTTTAAAATATGCGATATGTTTGCCTTTACTACAAGAATCTTTGGTTAAAGTTTCAAAAAAATATTTCCATAAATAAGAAAGATTACATTGCGCAGTTTGCGCATGCGCACATCTGATATTTGCATATGCGATATGCTTGCCTTTACTAGAATATTTGGTTAAAATTTCAAAAAATATCTCTATAAATAAGAAAGACAAGTTACCGAATGCAAAAAGAACAAACTAAACATCTTGAAAACTGTAGGAGTAGTTAAGGCCTCTGACGGATAGACGGATAAAGTGGCCATAATAGCGCCTTCCAACATGAGTTGGAAAATGGGCTAAAAATAGCTACAAGTCAAAGATTTCAGAATCTGTAATTGGTTGGAATAAAATTATGTTTACTATGCGAAAAAGCATTGGAGACCTTAATTTACGCATCACTCTCGTATACAGTGTGATTGATTTTACGTGTCCAAGCGTACATTTCGTTTATTATTGAACATAGCAAAAAAGTGTAAGAAGCAAAAATGCTCTACTTTCAATTTCTGATCAAGTTACATATTTAAAAATGCAAGTGATGTAAAAACAAAAAAGTATCAGAAAACAAATTTATTTTTTTAAATAGAACGGATACTTTTTCTGTAATATTTTTAAAGACAATGTTATCAATTACTTATTAATTTATTATAATTCCCTTAGAAATTAAAGCTATAGTAATGTGTTTAGAACCAATCGCAGTAGCTGTGGAGATTTAAACAAACACATAAAATTGATGTGACATCAGTAAACTTCATGTGATAGATCAGTAGCTTTCAAGGTAAGTGACAAACTATAAGCTTTTGAAAATCAAAAATTCGCTTTCGATAGCAAGAACCTAACGCTGTAATCTCGAAGCTATACGATGTTCTGTTACCGATTTATCGATCGATTTATAAAGGCATCTCTTTCGATTTCAGCTTGCTGAATAACCGATGCAGGAATAACTCGTTAATACGAACCTAATTCCGAAAATCCTAAGACAGGAAAATGATAAATTATGGATTTCAGAAATAGCTTTCAGATTAAGAGATGCAGCAATAGCACGATAGTAGGAATATAATACTGAAAACCCGAAAGTTCTACAAAATTCCGTTGCCGAGAGCTTAAAAGGCGAACGAACAGTCGGCAATTAGTGAAATAATAAGCTCCTTTTTGAAAATGTCCAATAACATGTTTTTACCACAAACTAGTGGATACACATACTGTTGACTAGTAACTTTTGAACTATTAGCCCAATCTTGGAACTGTTTGAAATTATGGATTCTACAGGCCACATTCTATAAGAAATTTTTTTTCTGGGTCGATCTGAGGCAATTTTTTCTTCGGGGCTCAAAAAAAGGCAGTGTATAACCTTCCTTTTTTACCTCGTTTTTTACCAAAAATCGACTACACCAAAATTTCTCGGGAAAACACTTTTTCTTATTAATTTGGGTGCGTAGAATCCAAATCAATTCGTACACCTGGCCCTTAAGTACCCAGTCCGCCCCTGTTTGTCCACCCAAAACATGGCCGTCTACAGCTAATTAAAGGTTAAAGCAACAGATGAAATGCAAACAGCTGAATAAACAAAAAGTAAACACAGTTTTGAACACCGAGAATATGGCCGCCACACGAAAATTTGCTTCAATCAGCCCCCTTTCTTCCAACCAAAAGGTCAAATTGAAGCATATTTGGATCCTTTCCGAGTTGTGAACAGATTTTCCTGAAATTTTCACAGCAAATCCTCCCTATTTTTGGAAACTAAGCGAAGAAAAAATTCCAGCACCAAATTCATCTTTTCGGCAACATGTATCAATATCACTTATAATATTAAGTACCTAGTCACAACGCTAAGGGAGTAAAAAGAAGTACAATACCGTACCTCAAAATGACTCAGTGTGACTCATTTTACCCAGGCAGAGCTCACAATTATCCGAAGCACCATTACAATTCATCCAAAATTAATTAATTGGTGCGTAACACTTGAATTTGTTACAGCACTTTAAATTTCAACCGGGAGAGGGACGGGGAGTGAAATAGCACCGCACTGGGAATAATTATAGCCTGAAGATAAACGGGGATTAGGTGTAACTTTCTGTGGAATCAAAACGAAGTCCGTTCATGCCCAATGACATAAAGCATTGGCGCACACCATGAAATTTATATGCCAAAACAGATTCCCCACGAACATTCGTTCCTATTTGTAAACTCCAACTAACGCACGATTAATTTTAAGAACTGAGACTTATTGCGGTCCTAAAATATCATACGTTTTCAAAACACTCGCCATGAAGAAAACATTCACACCAGGTGGCTGAACAACACCTCCCACGTTAGTCTAAAAAATTAACTCTTTGTGTTCCCAAACATAAAATAGGAGATTTTTAGTACATTTCCGTGTATTGCGACCATTAAAAAATGTGACTCAAACCGTTTTATGCGTTTGCAACAAAAACGATAACATTGGCCGCATTGATTAGGTACGTCCTGACGTCATCCGCAATTACGAAGCGGCAATCTTTTCCGAAAAAATCACCTTGTATTTTTTACAGGTTGAATGGGTTTCGCATCTTAACCCAAGAAACGAAATTTTCGTGTGTGTTAATTATAAACAAAGAGTGTATTATATTATTTTCGTTTCAAGGCGTGGGATAGGTAAATATTTTTAAAATAAATTAAGGAAAATGCACCATTATTTTGATGTCTATTCAAGGTTCGGATGTCAAAAAAATTTAAATTAGTCCGCAATTATAGAAGAACAAGCAGCGCTTCGGGACGAATGGGTAGGGCGATTACAAATGATTATTACGATTTGGTAACTATTAATTAAAATGGAGCAGAACACACACTCAATTTCAGTTTTCGAAAAAATATCGCTAACAATACAACTTATTACAATAAAATTTCACTTTTTTCTGGTTTTCTACGTCTCGTACCGTTTCCCAAGAGCATATTTGCATATCGTTACAGATGTTAATAACAAATTTGCGTATCGCTCCCACTGTGTCAGAAAACTTCGAAAATAGAATTTAGTTTCAAACTGACAGCACGGACGGACGGACAGATCTCTTTTATCTTAATTGTCGTTATATTTTGGAATATTCCCTGATACAGTATTTATGAAAGGAATTTTTCAAACACTTATTGCAAGAGGGGCGCTGCCATTTATTTTCCTAGATGAAGACGGATAATTTCGCCAATTTGGCTCTTAAGAGATTTAAGAAACCGCAAAACAATATGGCCTCTCAATCAATGACATACTTTATAAATAGACCAATAAAATAATTAAATCTCCGTAACTCTTTATTTGGAATCGGATTAAGATATAAACGATTGAAGGATTAGCACTCCGCCTAAATGTGAGCGTAATGAACTGACAAGGTCCCAGGTGACTCTCTTGTTCCAAATTCTAAGATTTGTAGAATGCGTGCTTGAAATTAAAGATCTCATCTCAGTAAATTGATGGAAAATGTTTAAGATTGATGTGGAAGGTCTACCCGCAGCGAATTTTCGTGCTTTCTAACGACGTATCAGATGACCCACGTTGCCATTAAAAAAATTCAAGATGGCGGTCAGACTCAAAAATCATGAGTGTCAACAATTTTTTTAACCTCAAAATTTATGAAATAATTTCAAAATACAACTCACATTTAACATGTGTTGGAGAAAATGCGCTAAAAATAATTATTATAATAAATGTTCAAAATGATGCACACGTAAATCCTTTTACAAAATGAATTCTTCACTCTATTTCACATTTCTGGGGTGATACTTCAACTCATGTTGGAAGGCGATAGAACTACCTACCTGCCGAAACATTAAGTGCCCATTTCTGATTAATAATATTGATTAGAGGTTAAACCGTTCTTTTTAGATAGCAAGTGTGACGTCACACTAAAATTACCCGAGGAATCCAAATATGCAACAATACACAGGGGATGAAAAAAAATGTAACTTTGATATGAATCACCCTGTAAGTATATGGATTCCAATCGAAGTGAAAATATTTTGGTTTGTAGCCATAGGGTTCTCCAGGGGCGGACTGGGTAACTGCGGGCCAGGGTGGGGGGGGGGGGTGGGTTTTTAGCTCTGAGGTGCACCACAAAAACATTTTAAAGTACTCCTTTCTCGAAAATAAATTACCATACAGTTTTTTTTCAATTGCAGCTGATAATTAAAAGTAACAAAATATACAATCCACACGAGGTGCGTCACCTATGATTGAGACGTCTGATCGAAAAAGTACGAATTGATTTGGATTCTACGCACCCAAATTAATAAGAAAAAGTGTTTTCCCGAGAAATTTTGGTGTAATCGATTTTTGGTAAAAAAGGAAGGGTATAGATTGCCTTTTTTTGAACCCCGAAAAAAAAATTGTTTCAGATCGATCCGGAAAAAATTTCTTATAGAATGTGGCCTGTAGAGTCCATAATTTCAAACAGTTCCAAGATTGGGCTACTAGTTCAAAAGTTACAGCCCTTTGAATTTTTTTCGAAGATTGAGAAGTCTGATCGAAAAAGTACAAATTGTTTTGGATTCTACGCACCAAAATTAATAAGAAAAAGTGTTTTCCCGAGAAATTTTGGTGTAGTCGATTTTTGGTAAAAAAAAGGAAGGTTATACACTGCCTTTTTTTGAGCCCCGAAAAAAAAATTGTCTCAGATCGACCCGGAAAAAAATTTTCTTATAGAATGTGGCCTGTAGAACCCATAATTTCAAACAGTTCCAAGATTGGGCTACTAGTTCAAAAGTTACAGCCCTTTGAATTTTTTTTCGAAATTGGTTTCTAGTCTATAACTTTTGATTGAGAAGCCTGATCGAAAAAGTACGAATTGATTTGGATTCTACGCACCCAAATTAATAAGAAAAAGTGTTTTCCCGAGAAATTTTGGTGTAGTCGAATTTTGGTAAAAAAGGAAGGTTATACACTGCCTGCCTGCACCACAAAAACATTTTAAAGTACTCCTTTCTCGAAAATCAATTACCATACAGTTTTTTTTTTAAATTGCAGCTGATAATTAAAAGTAACAAAATATACAATCCACACGAGGTGCGTCGCCTATCATTGTATTTCAGCACTTTCATGCTACGACAAAAAATGATAAATTCATTGTAAAACACTTCAATTAAAACAGAATTTTTTAACAACCTAACATCAACCCCAATTAGAGAAACGTGTTAATAATTTATTAATAGTGCAAGAAACTAAATACAGCACATACTTATAAATTTCCAACGGGCCATTATGATCTACAGGCCAGGTGGCAATCGCCCCCCCCCCCCCCCGTGCCAGTCCGCCCCTGGGGTTCTCCACATATCCAAGCGGCGAATTTTAAAAATTGAGGTTAATAAACTAATACAATATTGGCCCACCCTGCATATTTTCTCAAAATTCCGATATTACCGCTCGAAATTCAAAAATGAATTTTGCAATGTTGACATTTTTCCTTGGGGAAATTATAAAGCTAGTAACTGTTGCGAAAAGTCTCAGGGTCTCAGAAATTCAAAATTACTTAAACTTCAATTCCTAATTTTGAAAATACTATTTCCTTATGGTTTGTTTGAGTTTTTCGGAATATGACCACCGTCGGAACTTCCAAATGCATTGAACTAACATAAAATCCTACAAATGAAAATTCAAATTCATATTTAGACGAAATGTTCAGTTCTGTCCCTCCTACAGACAAGCAGAACAATGAAATGTGGGGACATCAAGAAGAGCAGGCCTAAATGCATGTAAACAGTTAGGCCAAAAAGAGGAAAGCAATAAACCATCCAATCACGTTAAAGTAGAAAGAAAGTTAAGTCATAAATAATAATAAAATTTAGTCAAGGTCCGTCTTTTTATGGTTATGGTCAGTTATTAGAAATGGAATATAATTCACGTTTCCGAATAAGCGTGTCAGAAAAATTCTAAAGTTTATGTAAATAATAAACGCACTTTTAGGTCTTAATTGTAGATTTATTTCGCCTGAAAAGCGCCGCGCGAAGAACCGCTAGTTTAAAAAATGATACGAAGTAATAGCCTTAAGTGTATACGTGCAGAGCAACTGTTACCAGTCCCAAATTATAATTTATGATCTAAATTTTTGTAGTTATGAAAATTATAGGCTACACTTGAAATATGTGTAGGTATGTAGAGGGTTGCTAAGCTGAGGTAGAATAGATCGTACAAGCTTGGCTTTTTTTCGAAGGAATACACGCACACCGCGCGCCATATCGAAATACGATATTTTTACCGTTTTCTTTCAATAAGTTGGTAAAATGGGTAACGGTACATCGAGATGAGGGATGTTTCGATCTTATTATTATAAAGGGCCGATACCTGCGAATTAAGTGCAAGTATTGGAAGAAATTCTTTCGCTTTATGTGCAATGATGGATGGATCGACGCCGCCTCCATTGAAATCGAAAGAGGTTTGCCAAAAAGTGGGTACCTGAGAGAAGTGTCCTTCACTTGCAGGTGTTAGTCTATTTAATTAATAATCACGTCCTACTATTAATCAGATTTTGTAGAGACTAATAGAATCAATTCATATTACGCATCACCGCTAATTAAAATCAAAGTCGACTTATTTTCCTGCACTCTGTAATATTGAACCTACCTCAACTTTCTACTCAATTAGAAACAATTGACGCGATAAACTTGTTTGATAGGATTTATGGAACTTTGATGACAATGCCTTGACACGCTCTGAAGGTTTTTCCCGACTTGATCATCAAGATTGTCCCTTTAGCTCATAGTCAAAAAGAACAAAAAAAGCTTCATTATATTTTGCAGCGTTTAATATATCTCAAATAAAAACACTTAAAACAGTTACGCCCCTTGAACTACACCGTCATTTCACGCACTAATTCCCATTTATTAACGTACTTAAACAATAACGTATATTCTGCAGATTATTAAAATACAAACAAAGGGTAGGGCAAAAAAGTTCGTTAATTGAATCACGTACCTATACACATGCGTTTTTACCTGATCGGCATTTTGTATTAAAAAAAAAGACCTTGATACCTTCATTTTCGAAAAATTCGTCGCGACCAAAAGATGAAAAGATAATAACGGACGTTGCGATTTTTTGTAAACGAGAAAAAAAGGGTTTCCTGTATTAACAAATAAACACGCAACACCTGACTCGAATAATTGCAACCACCTGCCCCCTCATTAGAATTCTCAAGGGTTGGTAAATTACCGGCAATTCGAGTGTTAAGTAACAGAAAAATTGAGGGAAGAAAAAATGAAATAACCTTGGGACTCTTTCGACATTTCCCAGGTCAACAGACGGTGCAATTTAAATTCGTTAAATTAATTTTTTTTTAGTTTATTTGGTATTTTTAACGTCTACCCTTCTACGTTAATTGTCCGGAGCGGGTCGCTGGCTATTTATGTAAATAGATCAAGCGGAAAAAAAGGAATTTTTGAATTGGGTGCGCGTGTAGGCAACACACAGTGCGCATCTGCCACAGTCATTAAGAGAAATAGCAAATACTATAAAAAATAGAAATCTACTATATACAGCATTTTAGCTGAAGTTTTGTTAACAAAATGTAAATGCTAATCCAAAATTAAAAGCAGCACACCCTACGCCTACAAGCTGCTAAATCAGAACGTGAATAAGAAACTATACAAGAAATGCAATCTGCAGAAATGGTTTGGGAAAAATGGCCACTGTAACGCACTATGTCTAACTTATCCATTGCTAAGCCGCAACGATATTAAAATAAATCATTAAGGAACATCAATCTGGACCAAAAACCTCCACATATCCATAAGCGAGTAACATTAAATTAGCTTTCACTGTTTATGGTTGACCACCTTAATTAAACGAAAGGAACATAAGAAATTGATAGAGCAAATGAAAATTAATTTGCGGTGTTTTCTGTTAAAATGCGTTTTTAGTACTTGAAAAGGGAAACTTGCGCAAACCTACTTTATTATAATGAAAGTCTAGACATTCTTATATCGGTTGATAGTAAATATCAATGATTTTTTTCAAATTTTTAAAAAAATCCAATGAGGCCACTTTTTCGTCTGTCTGTAGCGCAAACGTTCTAGTTGGAACTACTTTTATTTAAAATTTTGTGCACCTCAAGGCCCTTGCACAAAGCACAGATTAGAGTTTCCAGTAAAACACAACTCACCCCTCTCAAGTCTCAGACCTCCCACTTTCTAAGCTTGCTAATATACAATTAATGATTTTTAAGAGAAAATAATTATATCGGTTGTAAAATCGTATGCAAAAGTATGCCAGTCGCAAAAAAACGCCAG